TTAATATCCAAAACAAGCACTCGAAACAAAAAATGTCCAAAACAAACAATGTCCAAAATAATTTTTTTTATTCTTCACGATGCCAGTTCAGGACGGTGCATCTTCGCCCCCCACCGCCCAGCGACCCGAGACGGGGATGGAAAAATTGCCCTAGTCATAAATGTTGGATATGTGCCTTATAGATGTAGTAACTGTCTATTTATATGGTTCACTTGATAGTGACATATATATGAAAGTTCATGAATGACTTAAAGTGCGAAAAACAAATGATACATGCCCGAGAATCATGTTCTCAATTAAATTGTAAAGATCTATATGAATTGAAACAATTCAGATATATGTGACATAATCACATCAGTGAATATTATTGAATGAAAGCTAAAAAACTAACAATGTTTGTCCATGTGTTTTCATAAAAAAAAAAAATATTGGATTTGCAATTGTGACATATTATATTGATGATTTAAATTTAATTGAAACTTCTGAAAATCTCAACAAAACTATAAATTATTTGAAAAATGAATTTGAGATGAAAGATTTGAGAAAAATCAAATTCTATCTGGAGTTGCAGATTGAACATTTCCAGATTATTTATTCATCAATTTACATATACAGAAAGTCTTAAAACTCTTTTATATGGATAATGCACATCCATTGGCATCACCTATGATTGTTCGATCACTTGATGTGAAAAATAATCATTTTCGTACATTTGATGATGGAGAAAAGGTTCTTGGTCCTTGAGTACCATATCTTAGTGCAATTACAGCATTAACTTATCACGCAAACTGTACTCGACCCGACAGAGCTTTTCCTGTAAATCTCCTTCCAAGATATAGCTCTACACCAACACATAGACATTAGAATGGTGTAAAACATATTTTTCGTTATCTAAAGGGTACTATTGATTTGGGATTATTTTATTCTCAAAAGTTGGGATCTGTTTTAGTGGGATATGCAGATATATGTTATCTCTCTGACCCACATAAACATAAAACACAAAAGGATACGTATTTACAGTATAGGAACAAATATTTAATGGAGATCTGTGAATCAATCATTGACAACAACATTCTCAAATCATTATGAAATTATTGCAATCCATTAAACATGCCGAGAATGTGTATGATTGAGGAACATGACCCATCATATCCAAGTATCATGCCTTATTTCAGCAAAAGATAGTCCAACAATTTGTATGGAGACAATGCTGTTTGTATTCACAACTCAAAAGATGTTATATCAAAGGTGATAAGACGAATCATATTTTCTCAAAATTCTTTCATACACATGAGTTTCAGAATAATGACGATATCAATGTTCAAAAAATTCGTTCAAGTGACAATGTAGCTAATTTATTTATAAAAGCACTGCCAACATCTTTATTTTAGAAATTTGTTCACGAGATTGGAATGCACCAACTCAATAATTTCCAATGATCAATATCAGGAGGAGTAGTTATACTCTTTTTCGTTCACTTAGGTTTTATCTTACTAGGTTTCCTAGCAAGGTTTTAATGGGACGACATTGTTTATTTTTTGTTCCATTTGATTTTTATCAAACAATGTTTTAACGAGACAGTTATTGTACAAATAATCGTCAAATTGGGAGTGTTGTAAAATAATGAGATAATTATTGATAATTATTTTATATTATCATAATATAAAAATAAGTCTTATCTAATTCAAAGAGTCTTTCATTCCAATTATAACTCTTATTTTAGACCCTATAAATATTGGTCTTGATTTTCAATATAATGTACACTTGAGTTTTAACTATTATTTTCTTCTCTTCTTATTTTATTGTTTTTATTTCATAACAAATATAAGTTGTTTTTAACAAATTGGAAAAACGTAATAATATTTACTAATTAAAGATATATAAAAAAAATAAAAGCAAAAAATAAAATAAATAAAAATGGGGCGATAAATGGGGTATAAGCCCCGCCCCGCCCCGCTTTGCTTTAACCGGGTATGAGGATGGGATAAGATGACAAAAATACCCAATGGGGCGGGGTGGAAATTGTCAACATATTTCATACCCGCCTCGTTGACATCCTTACAAATCGTCCATTCCATTTTGCTTTTATCAGTTGGGCGATTATATACCACTCTCTACGCAAATGTTCATTTTCTTTTGGGTCCTTTCATTTATACTGTTAAAATAGCTCGTGCTTTGCACCCGACATAAAAAATTATCTGAACCTTTATGAGAAATTCAATTACTTTAAAAGCAATAATTTTTTTTAATTCATTATCCACAATTTAACTTAAATCACTTATTATCCAAGCCTTTTTAATGTATAAATTAATGAAATCCGAACGAAGAGTGTTTCTATAATAGAATTTGTATCTAGGTTGGAAATATATATGTATAAACGTGATTAAGTGTTTACTTTCACAATGCTAAGCAAAACCTCACCACCAACTACAAACATCGTTGTACCCAGGGGTGGACCCAGACCATTTGTCTTGTGAGGTCAAAAATGAGAATTCAAAAATATTTAGAACTACATGTTATGCCCACGAAATGCAAGCCCTTGTTGTAGAAGCAATCGAACACAATCAATTGACGCATTCAGACGAATTTGATATTCATCTTTCGTACTTTTCGACTTCTTAAAGAGAACACAATCAATATTTTGTTTCTGATTCAAGTACCTCAAAATGTATTGGTGATCACACATTGAGCAAAATATTTAACACGGTTTAATATTGTTCTAGAATCTAGATCCTTTCAATGTGCATTTCAAAAGCTGAAGCCTGAAGGTGCTAAAGGCCAAAGGTGAAAGGCAGAAAGGGCAAAAANGATCTAGCAAATGAGCTACTGGGTATTTTCAAATGGGCTACTTGGTATTTTTCAAATGGGCTAAGTGATAGGTTAAAAAAAAAAACTCAAATTTTTTTTTTTTTATGGGGTCATTTGACCCCACATGACCCCATGTGGGTCCGCCCCTGGTTGTACCTTCGCACATTATCTCTGGAGAATAGATCCAATTGTAAAGATCAGAACCAGAACTTAAACCAGTAAGAGGACCAAATTGGAGTTGATACTATAGTTTCCAAAGCTTCGTATTTGAGAATATATATTTTGTAGTGGTTGTTTAGATGGATGGATCGTGTCGATATCCCTTTAACAAGCACATCTTTTTGCAGTATTTACATTGAGCTTTGTGTTCCGACTTTCCATCTACTATTGCATTCACAATCACCAATTTGAAATGTTCCCAACACTTAATAGCTTATTTCATCATTTTTTGTTTACTTCTTGAAACTATTGTCATTGTTTCATCATTTTCAGTATCATCCAAATCAATTGATTTCATACTCCCGTGGTCATCACCCAGATCATCAAGAATTGGCACATTGAGACCACTAAAATTGTCACCTAATGACGGAGTCAAAGTAATTTTTGGTGAAGCACCAAGCATTTCGTTAAATTCACTAGTGTTCAACAATATGCTATAATCTATTAGAAATTGGAATAATATATAGAAGAAAAGGGTAGAGATAGAATAAATATAAGGGTCCGCTTGATTGCAATGGTGGAAAATGGTTGGAAAAAAAATGAATTTCAGGGAAAGTAATTGCTTAGAAATTGTTTTTCAGGGAATTGTTAATTAAGTGTGTTTGATTGGTATAATTTTCCACCCGGAAAATTTTTAAATTTTGTGTTCGTTTAGCTTTGTTTTACATGGAAATTGTCCATTAAAGTGATAATTTTTTCCACAATTGGTTATTTTTCAGGGAATTGTTAATTAAGTATGTTTGATTGGTATAATTTTCCACCCAGAAATTTTTTTGAAATTTTGGATTTTTTTTGTTCACGTTTGACTTTATTTTACATGAAAATTGTCCATTAAAGTAACTTTTTTTACAATTGGTTATGAAATTCGTTACCATTGCCAAAAAGTTAATAAAAAAATAAAAATTTGCTCGAAAACTATTTTTTCATCAAAGTTTAGTGTTCGTTTGACTTCATTTTACATGGAATTTGTCCGTTAAAGTGAAATTTTTTTTTCATTTTGTTGTGAAATTNCGTTAAAGTGAAATTTTTTTTACATTTAGTTGTGAAATTTGTTTCCATTACCAAGACAAAAAAAAAAAAAGGTTTGGCAAAATTTAAGCTATCAAACATGGCTTATGGGTGGAAAATGAATTTTTTTCCATTTTCCAAGGAAAATGTTGTCTATCAAACATAGCCTAATTATATTAGAATTAGACCAGGAAAAAAAAAACTCTAATAAGAAATAGAGATAATAAAACTCAAAATTGAACAATAAAAGAACTAGTATAGAAATTGTAAGAACTGTATTGTAGAATGTAGAATATAGATTGAGAATGTTGAAAATTATGAGGGGTGAAAAAATGAAGTAGGGAGAATGTATTCATTGAAAACAAAAATTCCTAAAAAAATTTAAATAAAAAGATCACATGACCGTTTGGTATGTGTTTGGGCAGTCCACCAAACGGCCAATTTTGCCCACGAGCCAGGTTTCACTAGTCGAACTGAGCCCACGACCCGACGAAATGTTCGACCCATTTATCACCCCAAAGAACAAGTAGTTCACTAAAGCACCAAAACATTTGTAAAGAAGTGGCTATTTAACTATGCTCCAAGGTTCTGACTGCACTTAGTTGACCACTACGTTAATTTGGAGATCCATTTCTAAACATAAAATTCAACGGTCGGTCTGACTTGAACATTTTGTAGCTTGGGATACAATGCTCTTTACCCAGCTACATATCAAGTATTGTTCCATGCACTAAACTAAAACCACAAAGAGAAATACTAAAATCTGAATTGTGAACCCTCAATAAGTTTAACGCACTTCCATATAACTGAAAACTATCCACATTTCATTTGACGACTACACTGTACACCATACATTTTCTACAACAAATCAAATAATACAAACTGTAAAACTGGAAATGGAGACACCCCACACCAAAAGAATCAAAGAAATTTAATTTTCAAATATATGAAAATCCCTTTTTCAATCACGATATACATTTTACTAATAGCGAAGAAGTTGCCTGAGCATGTATTGCCTTCAGTAATGCCACAAACTTGAGAAGACTCTCTTTCGAGAACCACTTTAGTTTCCACATTACAAGACCTGAATCCGGCATCTTGGTAACTGCAGCATCCTTTACAATGCATTCTTTCTGTACAGGACATAACTCTGATGTGTATTCGAGAGCCAGGGTCACGCACAGGCTATCCAGAGTATCAATGACCTGGAAAAGTAAAAACAGTTTTCTTTGCTGAGTAACTTAACACAATCTATGAATAAAATATTGAATGAATCAAAATTACATGATATTCAAGCTGCTAAAGCTCTATTTGAAGGTCACAACCAAAATAAGAATATCAGCTAAGCAAACTCATTTTCACAATAGTTCGAAAAACTGGAAGGAAAATGCTAAGTAACTTGGGATCTAAATAAGCCCAAGGGACCAATGCATTATAATTCAAGTACTGCTCTCAAAAGGAATTTAACTAAGAGAGACCACAAGGATAACAACTTCAAATAAGCTATAAAAGTTCTTTAAATCCTTTAAAATATAGGATAAAACTTGAATAAATGCTACAGTGATAGGACGATTTAAAAAAATTACCATCTCTGAGATATTAACAATAGCACAACTTGAGTCCAGTGAAAAATAATTAGAAGATGCAATCTCAGTGGGGCCAAACTGCACAAGGTCCTCAGTGCACACAAGCAAATGTCCTTCGACAATGAACAGGGACCTTGAAAGCCACAAATCTTCTGGCCAATTGTGAATGAAAATAAAGAAAACAGCGCATCAGAAAGGGTTAACCTGATCATCCTCCCATCCCCACCCAATAACAAGAGAAATGATGAGAACGAGAATGTACATATCCCAACAAAATAAGGAAACAGCATATTAGAAAATAATCTGCAAAGCAGTAAACTGGTTCATCCTTCAGCAGGGAAGGTGCATGAATTATGCAGAAACAGCCTGATAACAATATAATACACTATCAAATATCATCCACATTATCCTATAAAAAAGGGGGAAAAGGCAATCCTGTACTTCGTGCACCACGTCCAACCCATTATGCATGAAATTAAAGCCATTCTTTAGCAATAAAAACTGGGATGGCTGAGAAAGATACGGATGATCAATTGACAAGACTATCCCTAAACACAATTCCACGGAAATAAATTTTGTCCAGAAAACAGTTCTTTAAATAAACAATTACTGACATAACAGCTAACTTTCAATAATGATCTCAATACATATACATATATGTGTGTATTTTTTAACATTTATAACCACGACCCCCCTCCCTCCCCACCCCTGGCAAATATCTAGGCCAAATAGAGCATCCAGCCAATCCAGGACACTGAGACCACTCCAAGTGCCCCACATCCCTGGGAAGCCCACAGATAAAGCCTGTGTTTATTATCCCACAGGGAAAACAATTAGCCATCAAGACTTTGTGCACCTAGCTCCCCGGCGATCTCATCTTCTAAAACAGTTGGCTGATAATTTTGAACAGAGTGATTTTTATCAAAAATGAAGAATATGTGTTAAAACTATCAATTAAATAAAAATTATGTCAAACTAATTTCATTTATTTTGTTATTTAACTAATTTCATTTCCTTTGTTTATTTAACTAATATTTCAAACTCTCACTTATGATGTAAAATAGTATTTAACCCTTGCACTTCCTTTTATCATGAAGATCGAGGTATATCATATAGAACATTCACGTCTTATACCTTTCAAGTTGTTCTGCCAAAAGAGAACCATTGAGTACTGAAAAATGTTAATATTTGAACATCCACAAACATGCTGCTCCAAAAGATGAACCTGGATCTGCTCCAAGCTGCCATTTAAATTTCCATAACCCATCCAATAATAAGAAGAAATCATACAACCCATTAGAACATCAACACAATCACATTTTTTTTAAAATTTTCACGTCACAGGAAAAATACATTAAAAATCACCTTGTCAGGGAGCAATAATCTTTTAACCCATGTGAATCAAAGAATTCCAAAACCCATAGCAATTCTCTCGATCTCTCTACGCACCTTGTTATGAACAGATATGCAGTATTGCCCTCAAAGCACACCCTAATACAAGCACAAAATATGCACGCTGTTAGAAAATAAGGAGCAGGAAGGCTCTTAGAAGGGATTGAAAGTTATCAACCTTACAACTTGAAGTCCTAATCCAACATAGGCCCCTCTAACATCTCCAACACCGTGACAACCCACCATTTCTAATGTTGTTGCTGCAAATTTAATCAAACAAAGCAACGAGATAAGCAGAATTTACTTGAAAGAGGAAATATTAAACAGAAGAAATATTATTCACAGCTGCAAATAGCTCATACCACAACAAAGCTAACCTGACCCATCACATGCCTTGACAATGATCAATACATACAACTTGTCTTTACTGCTCCTTAATATAGCCACTTCCCTGTACAAGTAAAGTTGGGGAAAAAGAGTAACTAGGCAAGCTTAAATATATAAACAGTAGATTTGGTGGATACTGTAGCGAACAAGCTTATAACATACAAACACGTATGGGTAAACAAAAGTAGTTAATTATCATTGGCGTGAAGCTGCTAGTGAGGATGACAGAATGGTCATAAAGTTAATTGATAACGGTGTAAAAGACTAATGCCTTAACTTCACATCAACTGGAGGCTCCTTAATAGGTTTTTAGGCGATCTGATTGCAATTGGTCATTTTGAAAGATCCTCCACAATGTGATGCCTGTTCACTATTTTTACCCTTTACCACTCATTGGAGGTCTCACAATCAAAACAGATAAACAAATAATCAAATGAAAGGCAAAAATAAATGCAATGTTCCTTAAGGCTGACTTTTACTCCAAAAGCAACCTCAAAACTCCATTCCTTCCGAAAAGTAATCTATGAAGAGCCATAAAACCTTTTAAGAATAGTAAATCTTACAAGCTTCATAGTATGAAGTCCTACCACACCCTAAAGTAAAATTACAGAAAACATAAAGGGGTATGACAACAGCAAAAATATCAAATATCCAACAGAACATTTACATCTCAAATAATAATTGTCTCCAAGCATTTACCTTTCACAATGACCAGATTTTTCCTTGAATAGACAGTTGCAACGTGTATAATGAGTACAAGTCTCGTAAGACCCAGAATCTGCTATGTTCAAATTAAAATAGCTCTCAATAACATCATCTTTCCCCCCATTTGACGTAGTGACTCCAGAATGGTGTCCCCTGTAATCATTTGTTGTGCTTTTACAGGTTTTTTTTTCAGCACAGGGCTTCAGCAAGTCACTAGGACAACAGATTTCTTTTTCAAGTCCCTTGTCATTTCTGCATTTTTCCACATTGTCATTGGATTTCTTCGAAGAGTCAGAGTCACCATGGCCATCCTCCTCTGGTAATGAAATCATCCTCTTTTTGGGTTTCCTTGTGAATTTTTTCTTCTCCAACCAATCAGCTTCGTCTTTCAGAAAACGTACAATTTCACCATCGTGCACACCATCAGTAAAATTGCTACATGTATATGTGGATCTTTCCAACTCTCTAACTCCAATATTATTAGAATTTCCTTCCACGCTTGAATCTGAAGTGTGAGTCCCATTTTCTGTCAGTTTGGACCTTTTGCCATGGTCGGCATCACCAGACCGAGAAGCAGAAGAGTAGCCATTCAAACCACTTCCAGATATATTGTTGATCATAGATTGATCAACCAGAGTTATAGGAGGAAAAAGTTCAGCAGAATCATCATCACTACAACTTGTATTGCTATCAGAAGATGCCACCGAGAAGGACTCTGCAGATAGATGTAGAAGTTCTTCTTCTAAGTTTTGGCGCCGATGCAAAATGTCTGCTTGGTAATGAGGAGGAGATCCTGGGCACGCTGATGAAGAACGAGATTCAATAATATCATCAATTGCTACTGAAGAGCTCATTACATTCTTAGCACCCACATTTTTACCTTTGGAGATCAGTGAATTAAGAGGTGAGTTTCTAGCATCTGCAGACAGGTGTCCATCATTTAAGAATGTCAGATGTTCCTGATTCAGACCCATACTTTTGACAACAGATCTATCCCCACGTGCATGACCAGTGAAAAACTTTGAAGCTACTTCACCAATTCGGTCGAAGTACCGCTGGGCACTGACAATCGTGGATGTGTCCACAAAGGAGGTTTCAGATTCTAGAACAACTGTACTACTCTCATCCCCAGAAAGCTGAACAGAGTCAGAGATATATCTCGAGCTCTCTCCAAGATTCTCATCTTTTGCCTCACTTTTCATATGAATCTCTCCATTATTACTTAAAATTCCACTCACACGGCTACATTTGCTATCAACAACAAAATTGTCAGAAGCTTGATTCATCCATTCTTTGAATTCCTGCAACCATAAAACAGACCTTTCTTTTTTCATTAATTCAATTCTTCTCATAAAATCTGCTATTTCAGCTTCCTCATCTGTAATATCATTATCCTCTTTGGTTTGAATCTCATTATCACATGACACAGAATCTTGGTCCGAATATATATATGTGCTCTGCTCTTCACTCTCGATACTGACAAGACGAGAGATCTTCCTCTGCAATGAGTACAAACAAAATTAAAAAGTACAAAAGAAATCAAGAAAGTAAATACTAGAGTAAATAATTACAAAAAGAAACTGAATGTAATTTCAGGGGATAGATTCCTACCCTATTTGTGTTGATAGTCCCCTCCGGTTCAGCATCACCTTTGGCTGGTGAATAGAATCCAAAGCTAGCAGGTTGCCTCTGCTGGCTTGCCACTATAATTTGCCGTTTCCAAAACTCTCTTGGGGACATACTCTTCTCGTCCAGCTTAAGCTGAAGCATTGTCACAAATATTGGAAATGTAAGTTTAACACAAGGTTTGCAGCAGAAAAAATAGCATGTATGACTTGTGTAACCTAAAATTGCATTTCTTCAAATAATGACTTCCAGAAACACAATTTAAATCATGGGCTGTTGTATTATGTGACAACTTACTTTGTCTGGATGAAGGAAAAGGCTAAAAACTTGGGAGCGGTACCATCTTGCAGAACAAAGAGGATTTCCTTCCAACCATAAGCTCTGAAGAGACGGAAGGCCAGCAAGGATCTCTATCTCGGAGAAGTTTGAAATAACGTTGAAAGAAAGATCAAGCCCTTCAAGTGACTTCAAATTCTCAATCCCTCGCAATGTGGTTAAAGCATTGTTCCTCAGCACGAGTTTCACAATTTGACACGAGACCTGCATAAACCAACAACTGAAGAGGGTCCAAAATGTTTCCTAAAAAGGAATACGAACAACAGAATTATGACTTAAAGCCAAAGTAAGAGTGAAGCAACTTATGCATCAATGAAAAAGTTAACGGACTGACGCTACATGATAGGACTGTAAAAGATTGATAATTAACAATGTAAGTTAACTGTATGCTAAACTCCAGCATTAGCAAATGGCATCCATCTTGGTGATGCGTTCAATGCAAATCAATCATGGTAAAGCCCTCGGAAAGAAAGGACCTGACATTTTGGTCATATGAGATATACAGGTTTGTGTTTTGGATTTTTTGTCCTAGTAAGGCTTTCTGTTCTCCCACTTCTAGCATATCAGAAAAATCTAATGACCTCAAAAAAAAAAAAAAAGATCATGCCTTCAATTCACTACTATAAACATATTCTTTCTCTTGCAATTTTATATTTGATTCAGTTACCTCACTAAATGATGAAATACTTCTCAGGTTATTAAATCCAAGATCCAGGTGCTTCAATTTGGTACACTTCCGAAGATTATCCACCTTGGCAAATTTGTTCCTACTGAGATCGATGGTTTCAGTAGCTGGAAGAAGCTGCAAAGACTCGTCCATAAGCATCAAGCCATTACACGCACATGAAACAAATGATAACCGGTTCCACTGTGGTGAATCCTTAATCTCCGCAATTCTACTTGTAAATATATGCCTCAGTGCATCCTAATCCAATTTGAAGGAAAAACAAATACCAACGATCAATAATTGTAGTACATTAAACAGTGAAAATTAATATACATCAAACAAAATCTTCTGTCATAAAAAATAATCTAATCAAATCGCCAGATAAACACAAATTTTCCTTTGAAGTAAAAAACTCACAGTAGAATTGTGGCAGATCAACTTCTCCAATGTATGTCTCAATTCCAGTAACCCCTTGGCAGTAGAGGCCGAGAGATTACATCCCCTGAGCTCCAGAATCTTCAACCTCCCAAACGGCAATAAATACAGCGGCGTAGGATCCCTCCCAGGCGGAGGCAACATCGAAACCACCTTCAACGACGGTAACAACCGCAGAATCCTCCGGAGCTGCTCCAGCGCCCGGTGGTCACCCAAGTCGGAAACATACGCACGCAGATAATCCACCGGTGCTCCGGCTAACAAACTCTCCAGCTCCGCCAAAGCCTCAAGCCTCGATTGCACATACCGAAGCCCCACAGGGTTCAATTTCAACACAAGGGTTCCTTCAATTAACGGTTCTGTGTTGTTTTCCACGAATTTCACTAAAGATTCCAAGTATCTATCCCCTGTGACAATCGCCATCAAGCACCTACATATATACAATTCCGTATATCATATAATTAGGGTTTAAAAGTATATATACATGCATTTAAACTTATATTAGCAAGGAAGAAAGATGAATCGGGGTTAAGGGAAGGGGGGTTTGGGGGGTATTGAAGGGAGGAGAGAGAGAGCCATTTTTGTGTGTGTTTATGTGCGTGAAATGTGGGGGTTAATGATTGATTGAAGAAGCAAAATAATTGCCAAAATTACATCTTGGTCTCTAATCTATTAGAAATGTATTAATTAGATCCTCAACCTATTGTTCTGATGGATCAAGTTCCCATTATTTTATTTTTGTAGCAATCAAATCCCCAATGGACAATTTTACACCTTATCATTGATTAAAAACTGAGTTTTTTTTTATTATTATTAAAGAACAAAGGTTTAAAGAAAAGAAAAATGAAATAAAATAAAATAAGCTCAAAATCCACCATTATTTTTATATTTTAATATTGTTTTATTTATTTAAGTCCATTTATTTTAGGTAAGGATTTTTAGGTGTTGTTTTATTAATTGGAATCCATCTAGTTTTGGTAAGGATTTTAAGGTATAGTCACCTATTCAAGAATGAGGAATTTAGCATTATATCATACCCTAGTATAATAATAGCCCCAAAAAAAAGGGGATATGCAAAAGTAAACATGTCACATTTCTTTCAGATATGATAGATAGTGGGAAAAATAAAACAATGACTAATTTTTTGCTCGATATCTTTTACATTAAAAATAGAATAGCAAACTTATTACATCATCATTTACAAATATATCGAGCTTTATTTTCTCAAATTTGGCATAACTCTATATGTCCGATCACATAATCTCTAAGATTTCTCCAAAAAGCTTGCGATATTACATAGTTTTAGATATGCATGTGTTTTCAAACTAGCGAGTAAATAGTATTGCCTTCTTTTTCATAAATGAGAAAAATATTACATAAGATATTCTTAGCTAACAAAGATTTTCTTTTTCAAAAGTTTATTGCATATTCCATGGGCAATTTTTCTTTCTAGTAATTTGAACGGTGGTCATGGAACCAAATTCTATCCATCTCTTCTTGAATTTGAAACGATGACATAAGTCTAAGCATGTATATAATTTCGCATATCTAATTATTCATAATCGAAAATATTAGATTTCCCGGTTTCCATCAATATCCTTCACTAAAACCGTCAAATTCAGTGTTGTCTTTGAAACAACTATCTTATATATTTTATTTTTTATCCTATAATTAAACATAAAAGGATTGTTATTTTAACAAAAAACTGAGTTTTTAATAATGGGAACTTATGAAAGTGAAAGATTAGGGATTGAGGCTGCCAAAATATTAGGTTGGGACCTAGTTGCTATATCTTCAATAGGCTGAGGATCCTATATAATTTAGGCGCTAAATAATTGGAATAGAGTTGGACCAATGGGGAGGATGATGGAGACACGTGGTAGAAACGGGGCCAGCTGGTGATTTAAGGTCGCGTTTAGTTGAGGTGGAAATATGAATTAATTATAACAAGCATTTAATTATGGAAAGACGTGTGAGGATAGGGAAAGTTAAAGGGTAATGGAAATTTCAGAGGTTTTGACATGAAAAATGTATACGCGTAAACAACTTTACATGAATCTTTCTATATATAAAAAGTGCAAATTTAACAGAATTTGTTGGTTTAAAGAAAAAATTAACAGAATTTGTTGGTTTAACAGATTATGTAACGGAATTTCTTGTTTTAAACAGGCAGTTGCACCTTCTTTCAATATTTTTATCATAACTTTGTATTTCGATATTCGATTGAGGCGATTCAAAATGCGTTGGAAAGCTAACCCATCTGGCTACAACTTTGATTCAGACATCATTCTCCAATTCGATCACTTTCTATGCCAAAAATATGTCTCAATATAACGGACTACGTAAC